CTCTACTTTATATTTTAACTCAAATAATGCATGCCTGCTAAGAGTTGCTTCACTTCCAGAGCTTGCATCAACTGTTGTTCACGTCCCTCTTTGCACGTATGATGAGTACAGTACATCTGTAGGTGTTTCTTGTGCAGGGACACTCATAATTATACACTGTCATCCACTGCACACTCAGCTGCAGAGTGCTGTCATCTTGATCCTGTGTTGATGTCATACGGATGACCCAGTTTGGATTGCTGTACCCTGTAATGAATGGCTGACACGACCGATGCCTGAATAGCAACTCTGTCTTCTACGCTGTTAGCAGTGCCTCGCAGGAGATAAATCTGTTTATTGGCCCCGCACAGAGCACTTACAGACTGCTGCAGGACTGTGCAACCAGATGAATTGAGCCAGTTTGCAAAACTTTTAATATTCTGAAAGGGAAGAGTTATTAAAACAAATGGACAATTACATGTTGTGCTAAGTGACTTCAGTGTAAGGCTGCAAGAACTGTATCTTTTGATCGCTTTTGTCCATTTATTTTCATAAACTTGCTTGATTTGAAGGCTTCTGGGTGGCAGTGCTCTGGAGAGAAGCGCAGCAGTGCCCATAAATACATCCTGGGAAACAGCAGATTTTTGTCTTCTGGGTTATAATCTCTGGGGTTTCCAGTTAATGTGGGAGAGTGCGGGAAAGAGTACTTGAATTCAGGGGCACCTGGCGAGTTCCTGTGGATGAATGAAGGCTGGATCATCCTTGTCTTCGTTGCTAGCTCCTCTGGCCATCTACTCTTAAAAAAACCATGGCAAAACAGGCCCCTCTGGGTGCATCTCTCAAATGCTGAATGCACCGGACTATTCTAAACTGGGAGCCAAATAGTTACAGTTCTCCTTTCATTGAACAGTAAATGTAAACGGCACATGAACACTTGAATTGGTTTGCGAGGTAAAGGATTGGTTTATGGATTAAGTCCCCCCGTTTTGTCATTTCTTTGGGCTTGTGAAGTTGGTGCTGAACCAACTGCTGGAGTTGGGATTAGGTGGATCCTGTTTGTTCTCCCTTTTGAGCCCCTGTTGGAATAGGGGAAGCATTTCCATGTGCAGTGCTGTTGAAGTGTGTATATGCAAAATATCTCGTGGGTTGCAAAATATCTTTCTGTGTGAAGTGTAAAACTGCTAGCAGACATGTGCCCTGGAAAACTCTGCAGGTTCTACCCATATCCTCGCTTTGGTAGAAGAGCTGGGCGATACAATACACGCAGGACAATTAAATCATCTTAACTGAGCAATGACCAAATCCTGTGTGTGCTGTGGCACCGCGTAGCTCCAGCTGCCCAGGGCAGCGAAGTCATCACTTCCACTATCTGTAGATGTTGCTCTGAAGACCGGTAAGAGATTTATAGTAACATAACTGGGAAATGCAGCACTCGATTTTAAACTTTGTCCAGCTCTGGTGTTTTGGCAGGATGTGTTTTCCTTCGCCTCGTAGCAGATTACAGCAACCTATGCTAATTTAATGCGAGTTTTGAAGTCTAGTATCTGCTTCCATGGTGTTTGTTCTAGATTTATCCCTCCTGTTCTAGCTAGAAAAGGCTGTTTCAAAAGAGAAGTGCGCTGCTGGTCTGCCTTTGTCTCGATGGGTGGAAGAGTAAGAGGAATTTCATCCTCTTCTCCCTTCCATTTCTTCTGCGTAAGGGATGTGGCTTCACACAGCGGCAAACTTGATGCTTTCTGGAAGATTCTGTGTTTTATACAGACTGCAAAATTTACATACAAGGAAGATATGTTTTCCTGTATGCTGTCAAGAATAACTTATTCTACTGAATAACAGCTGGTATTAAAGGATGTTAAGAGAGATGTTAAGAAAAGCAAACTTAGGTCATTTATTTTTTATCCCTAGAAGTAATTTCAAGAGCCTGGAAGTCTACAATAGCCTCTAATGTTTTTTTCAGACTAGTTTTATTCATGTTTGGACTTGCCAGAAAGTCAAAATGTCCATTGGTATATTTAACTAGCTATACATGCTGCCATGACTTAGCAATATATCCCAATTCCAGCCTGTTTTCACCCAGCCTCTTGTCATCTGAGCACCAAGTTTTGAAGGAGGGCTTGAGAAAATAGGTCTGGTGGCAAACCCTGGCACTTAACAGCCTTCCCGTGGAGGGGGAATTCCAGAGCCGAGGTTCTCCCATGGAGCACATCCTGCCTTGGCCCTGTCACGTTTAAGCCCAAGGACTTTTTTAATAAGACAAAACCAAAACGTTCCTTTAGTATAGTACTGGTCCAAAGGGTAGCTTCTACAGAAAAACAGTTTAAGGCTTTGATTTGCACTGGAATCAAGGTAAGCTTTTCCTACTGAGCAATGTAATGGGCAGAAGTCAAGAAGTTACCTGCGCTTTGTGCAAAGCTGTTTGAGAGCCCTTGATATGCAGTCTCGGTTAACAACGGGCAGTGACTAGTGCCTGCGTTCTCACGGTAAAATTTGAATTCAGACAAAGCCTTGTTGCCAATACGGATGAGACAGAAAAGGCTGGCTGGCTGCTTCTGGAATCTCTGTTTTAATACTTCCTGCCCCTTGCCTGTTCTCTTCCAGACTGGTTCCTTTTCGGAAGTCTCCTACTGCTGTCTGGTTTGCACCTTTAATTTCTCTCACCCTTTTTTGTGAAGGGGGGTGGAGAGTGCTGGTTCAGATGTAAAATTCTGGCCTGGGCAATAATGGGAAAGAAAGTAGATTTGCCTGTTTACTATTGTTCTTGTAACTGGGGGAAGAAAAAATCATAGTCTCATTTTCCCATGAATAATTCCTCTGCATTGCTCCTTCATTAGAGCTTTCTCCAGAATTTCCTTGATTTCCCAGCTGATCAGCTAAGCCATCTAATTAGATGATCCAGTCCCAGAACGCGCACATGCGTTAGCTCCTTTCACAGCCTCGGCAGTGTCTGTCCTGTCCCGCTGTGGCACTCTGCACTTATCTGCCAGGCGTCAGATAGCATTCGTGACCGAGTCTGAATGCGGTCCTTGACTTGAGGAGATGCTCTTCTGCCCTAGCCTCTGAGGGAACAGACTTCACAGAATTTGTGTTAGCTGGGGAACTGGCAAAACTTCCATTTTAATTATCTGCAAAATGGGCTGAGTCGTTGCCTGTCTAGTGGACCGTTTAGGACTTGCTAACTTGTGATATCTTCTGGTGGGAAGTGATAAAAGCGTCTGTGGGGGGAAAACAACGCTTTTCTTCTGTGTGACATTTTGGGAAGGAATGCTGGAGAGTTCGTGTCCCACTTCAGCATCATGCTTCAGTATCCTGAGATAATTAAAAAGCAAACTGTGATTTAGAAACGCAGCTTTTAAGTTTGACTGACTCTAAAAGCATTGTTTTTAGTGTTCTCTTGTAATGATGGCATTATTCTGTTGTCAGTTTGTTATCACTGGTTGGAGCGTATTAAAAAACTACTTAGCGGCAGCACGTTAGCTTTTCATGTTAAGCTATGATGGTTTCTTTGGCAGGTGATGGGTTGGATTGATGCTCAGGTGCAGAATATTCGCTGCTTGGAGAAGCTGTTGTCTGCCAGTGAGGCCTAGAGTACAGCTTCATAAGCCACTAAGATCTTACTTTCCTTTTTTAACTCTTAATCTGATCCTCTGCCACTTGAGTGACCTAGCTGATGCTGGTTTTATTTGCTTTGCATACATACAACTAAATTGATTCAGACCACTTAATCAACCAATAAGAATCAGCTTTTTCGGACTGTAATTCTAGCAGCAGTTTTTTACCAGGTATGTAGCTCAGGAAGATCAGCTCTTAGTTGTTCCAGGAGATTAAAGAGAAACTTTATTAATGAAATTAAAGCTCATTCTCCTTGTTCCCTGCTTTGCTTTTGGAAATGTTGAAAGCATGCTTCTAAATGGAATGGGGCATCACTGCTCAGCAGTCTTAGTTCACAGATCACTCTAATCATTCCTCCCACAGGTGTAAGTGTGTGGAGGTTGTTTGTTTTTTCACCATGGCAAGACAATGCAAAGTCTTTTAAATATATGTAGATATTCCTCAAGAAGCACGTGAGGCTTTGCCGTCTGTTTTTCTTAGGACTCCTTAGAAAAGAGAAGCTTCTCTCGCTCTTACAGCTAGTGGGGTTGTTTTATCTGGTCCAAAAGTCCATTTCAGATTTGTAAGTTGTTGGCCACTATGATGATGCTTTGCATGAAAAAGCTTATGGAATACAACAAACAGCTCTGGCTTCATTGCCTTGGAAGAATACAGTGTTTTCCCAGAATAATCTCTCTTCCTGATGCAGCACCAAAGACCACGTCTCCCTTTAAACCATGCTTCATGATTTAAAAAAAAAAAAAAATACTACTTGTCCCTGAGCTCCGAAGGGCTGCTCCCAATTTGCTGCGAGAACGATACGGGCACTGTAATACTTCAGGCTCCTGCTCACCAGCACTCCGCGCCCTTTTACTGTTATGGAAACCAGTCCTGCTGTGCCTGCACCCTTCAGCCTCCGTTTGTTGGATGTTCGGGCTGCTTGATCATTCTTGTCACAGCCCTCCCCGCCTACCCGTTTGCCATATGCTTGTTTTGATGCGTAGTTACCCTTTACGGTTTTAAAGCGCCTGTGCTTTGGTGTACCTTCACAGAACTGACGCAGATGGAAGCCCCTAGTAATGCTGTAGGTGATACCTTCCCATAGTCAGTGCCAGCCCACGAGTGCCCCCTAATTATCATTTACTTTAATAGATAAATTAAAAATCTCAGTTTACATTTAATCCATCAATCCACAAAGCATTCTTGGACCATTTTTTTTAAACTATATTGGATGTAATAATACTCTCTCCAACCAGGGTCCAATCCAGGAGTTTGAAAGCTTGAGAATAAAGTTTATCTTTTGAGAATTTATTGGGCCAGATGTCTCTCTTGAAATGGCCTCGTTAACCAGCAGCTTCTTCCCTAGAGTAAAGTAGGTTTTGTTTCCTTAATGAAAATATATGGCTGAAATGTTAAATTGTTTTTGTTTTCAGATGTTCTCAAACAATGATGAAGCTGTGATCAACAAAAAACTTCCAAAAGAGCTGCTGCTTCGGTAAGCCTTCTTTCAGTTTGTAAGCTTGGAGACTGTGTTGTGTATTGTTATTTGCAGCCAGTAGCTGATTTTGCTGGTACGCTCATAAATCATGAGCTTGGATTGGGTCACTTACAAAGCCATAGACAAACAGAAGCAGATCAAAGGTCTGCATCAGCAGCAGTTTATGCTAAATATTATTAGGTTTTGGTTTTTAAAATGTTAAATTAATTTACTGGTTGCCTGTTTTGTAGATGGAAGAAATATAGGACTAAACAAGTCCTTAATGAAAAGAAATGGTAAGTATAGGCTAATGTGTAGAACAGGATTCTGCCTCTTTAAAGTGTTCCATTTAAAAAAAAAAGTTAGTTCCTCTGCTCCAGTTATGCTCGAGCAGACTTTGTCCTGTTCCTTGTCAATAAGAGAGAGATGTTCAACACCTGGCAGCATGGTCCTGTTGCCAAAGATCAAACAGATCAGGCTTTGTGGATCTCTGTAGACAACTCTGCCCTCTCCCTGTGCTGCCCTTCCACAGGCACACACACACACACGTGTACCTTCTTAAGTTTGCCTTCCCCCGCGCAGGAGTAGTGCGGTGTGTGTGTTGATTGTACCTCAGTCATCACAGTTCGGCGTCTTGAAGTAAAGTCGTGTTTATCGGTGCTTTAAGCTGAGATGCCAGACTGTAGACGGTGAAGGCCATTGCAGGTGGCAGCTTGAATTATTAACACGAACAAAATTCTTACACTGCAAGAAACTGTGTAGTACTGTCAACACTTAATGGCAATAAAAAGTCTGGGGAGAGGAGCTCTGACACAGGAAACTGCTTCTAGCTCACTTGTGAAATAAAACTAATAGGAAAAAAAGTCTGACTCTCTTCTCTTGCCTGCACTGCCTCCTCTGTTTGCTGTAATGGTATCTCCAATCCGATCAGTTTCTTTTATTCCAGTATTATTCATCCAAAAGCAAGTTGTTTGGCTTCTAAAGCCCTCCTTGCTAATAATGCAGGTATTTGGGTTTTGAGCCTGGTATACAAGCAAATGATTGTCCGTGCCATACAGAGATTGCTGGGTAAAAATCAGCATCAGGTAGCGGGAGAGACAAGCAACCTGTGGGAGGAGCGGGATGGAGTAACGTCAATAGGATGCCCTAGCCCAGATGAGTTTGCACAGTTTTTTGCAGGTGACAGCAGTTGTCTTCACCCAGCACTTGCCCTGAGCTATTGGTGTTGCAGCAAAAGGGGAATTTGAAGAGTGAGAAAAATGTCTCTCTGGATTTTCTGGGAGGGGATTCTTTTTCTGATGGGAGCAAGTAGGTACTGGTATTGCAGATGCAACAAAAGCAGGATTTGCCCTTGTGGTAAGGTGACAAGGGACAGGTTGTGAAGAGCACTGACATGTGAGGCAAGGAGTTCGTGTGGCATAGGGAAAGGGAATCTGGTAGGGAGGAAAAATTTGGGGGGGGGAGGGGGATTTAATTGCGATTTCCCCTGAAGTCCATGCCAAGAGGGGGGTGGTCACAGGGCTCCCAAGGAGCAGGACCTTGATTAGAGCACGAATGAGCTTTCTGGTAGATGGGTCAAAGTGGAATGATCCTGAGTGGGACCAATAAGCACATCTTGGGCTGTAGGAGGTAGCTGGCGTTGAGGAACGTTACTAGACAATTGGAGGAGGATTTGTGGTAAGTAGGAGGGAAGGTCCTGCACCAAGCAGGGAATTTCGTCGGTACGAGCCACGGTGTGGCTGAGGTCTCAGCAGTACGCACGCTTCTGCCCTGTGGAAACGTGTTTGTCTTTTGTGTCTTGGTATCACTAATCATCCTAACCTGCTGTAGAACAGAGCAAGTGTTCAGGATTGTGTGGAACCTAGAAGAAATCAGGAGACGAAGTTTATAAATGTTAAAGTTCATAAGTAATGTTTTTGAGAGTTGGAATTCACTGTTTAGCATACTGTGAAAATTAATTAGTGTGGATTGACAGTGCAGCCTTTGAAAGAGAAACTTGGATGCATTTATCTGCAGGAATCTCCTGTAAATGAGTGTCACTGTCCACAAGACAAAGACTTATGTGTTTAAGCAGTGCTACTGTGTAATGTCTTGTTCTCTGGTTTGTTCGTTCTGCAGATGGCATTGATGTCTCATGTGTGGTTGCAAAGTGGAAAGCTGTACTTGACCAAAATAAAGAGTAGGAGGGTATAAAAGGGGTGAACAGCAGCCTTTGTCACATCCCAAGATACAGAAATGTGCAACTCCAGTAACGCTTTTGTCTGGAGGATGGGGTAGAGGTGTAAAGCGCTCTGGAGGGCTGTCCTCAGAAATTTCTCCTTTAAACGTGTCCGTGCTTCAGCTGTCATGTCGTGTTCCGCCTTACCACGATGCTGGCGGCAGTGATGTTTGTCCTCCACTTCCCCGAGGGCAGGACTCTAAACAAAACTGTCCTGCAGCACGTGGGTAGAGAGATCACCTGATGGGTCAAAAATCCTTGTCCTGATACTGCCGTACCTGCTTCAGCTTTGTCTCCTGCCAGCTGTTTCTAGGAGCTTCCACCTTTATACGCGAATATACCTTTACACAGTTAAAAATGAGCCAAACCAGCAAAAAAGTGGAGTTCTGTTCACCGCCCTCGTTCCTTTGCTGCTCCCAGCTCCTCTTCGGGCAGCATCTGGCTCGGTCACTCTGAAGGGTGAATTCGTGGTCCACGTCGGCTCTGGCTGTGGTCGTTTCCCCAGAAGGGGCATCGTGTCCCTGTTTCCCTGCGCTGGCATTAGCGACGCCCTGTTGAAAAGGTACATTCATTCCTTGAGGGCTGCCTGCCAGTCGCTTTTTCTTGTCCGCAAGCCAAACCCCAACCCCAAGCCTGGCTCTTCTGTGGCAGTGGTGGTCTCTGCTGGTTTCCTGAAGAAGGTTTACTCTCAGCGTGACGTGGGGCTGCTAAACAGCTTATGCTTGGCAGGGTGAAGGGGACTAGGCTGCGGGAGTTCGTCTTTTCCTTGTTGGTTCATGGGCAGGTCAAGCAGTTTTCAGTTCTCTCCTGGCGTAAGCGGCTTTTACTCCATGCCACCTCCTGCTGCCTGCTAGCCCGTTTTCAGCACATCCAGTCACTGGCACTGGCTTTGCCATCTGACCTTCAAGCCCCGTGTTGATTTATTCCTCGGGAGCTTGAGTTCTGCTTGGGACAAGGAAGCGACAGAGCACGTGGGGTACCGGTGAGTTGGCAGCAAAGTTGTCGTTTCTCTCCTCCTGGCCAGCCCATCAGCATAAGATGAGTATGGAGCGAAATTTAACTTGAATTGTGGGGTCGCTGACATAAACTGGTGTTGATAATTTTAGAAGGCTAAAGGTCTAAGCTAGCTCACCTCAAAGCCCGCAGCATCCAGGGATTTCATTAGAGTTTTGACCCTAATCTAATTAGGGTGGCAGTGGGAAAGTGAGGAGTCCTAGAAAACCCTGAGTGGATTAAGAGGTTGAAACCTGAAAAATGCTCTAACTGCAGTGTGTTTTAGCTAAATTGGCTGGTGGTGGACTGTTCAGGCAAAGCTCTAAACATAGCGAGTTACTTTGCAGGGGAATAATTTAACCTGCTGCGATACCAGACTTGTTTTAATTCCTGTTTGGAATACACAGTTTGCCTTCACCTATGATCAGTTTGATGATAAAGTTATTGGTGTGGATTATTCTCTTACTGTCAACTCTGAAGAGTAAAAAGACCAATGTAAGAGTACAGCAGTCAGCTGTTGAGCAAAACAGAAATCCTGTGTGTTGGGTGTAAAAATAAACATCCCAGCTATGTGCCTTTTGATCGATTAAGGCAGAATCAGGAAAGCCATTATTCAGGTAGTACTGTTCAGCCTGCTGCTACTTGCTCTTCTCTTTCTTTCACCGCACAAACTGAATCTGACCAGAGCGGGAGATATTTTCAAAGGGGTTGGTGCTTTGGAACAATTCCAGGAGGAATTGTCCCTCTGTTACTGAGAGTCAGAGGCTGGAGCTGACTAGCTAAGTTGCATCCAAATTTCCTGTCAGCCCAGTACGTTTCCTCATTGTCAAGTCCAGTTTTAATTGAGCCATAGGCTACTAGCAAGAATGCATATTATTTCAAGTGAACATATAGATTACCTTTGCTTTATTTTATACTGTGCAGATTGCTGAAAAGAGACCCAGCATTTATGACCCGTGCTGTACTCCTGTTGGAAGACAACGTCTGCTCAATCGTTGTTTAGCCTCGTGGGCAGCTTGTTTGTGGGTTTTGGGTTTGTTTTGTTTTTTTTTTTAAATGTTCCCCAACAGCTCCTTGGAGAAGAAAAAAACTGTCCTCAGGGCTGCATTGGAAAACTTAGCTTGGGTCACTGTGCCTGCAAGATTGTAACTGTGCTCCTGCTGTTCTCGCCGGTTCGTGTGGAGGGTTGCAGTTGGAGCCAATTCTGAAATGACCGAACTGCACAGCACAGTAGTGGCTGCTGCTGAAAAAGTAATTTTTGCAGTCCGATTCTGCTGAGTCATTGGCTAATATTTTTGAAGAAATGCAAGAGCAGTTCAGAAAATGCTGGAAAATGCTCTTAAGCTTTTCAGAGCCAAAGTCCCTGAGTTAGACAACAGGGGAACTCCTGGCCAAGCTCAGCAACGTTAACCTCAGAGGTGAGAGGGGCAAGCGTTTTGCTGTGTTGACAACCCTTTTACTGTGTGGGCAGACTGGGAAGGGAGGAGCAGGAGCAGGAAGTAGAAAAGAATTTGGCCAAGACCTAATAGCCCTGATAGAGGGGTGAGAAGGTTATTAATAGCCTGGGATTTCCATGGAGAAAGCGACTTTAATGAAAATCCAGAAAGCTTGCGTAGTTATTGACCTAACCGCTGTTCCCATGGAGTTTGATATTTTTTTTGCTCCTGTGATGGGAATCTAGGCTGAAAGTAAGAATTTTCCCCAGCTTCTATCATTTCCCCAGGCTTTCCTTGTATTGTTGTACATTGACATTGTGCTAAATAAATCCTCAGTGCTCACATACATGCATGAATAAATGACATTGAATTCAAGGGAAGGACTTGTCTGTAAGCAGTTGAGAGTGAGCCTGGAACTGCTTCTGAAATCCAGAAGTGGGTTCCCAAAACAGTGTTACGGTAAAGTGCATATTGGCTCCTTTCCAGACCTCTTAACTGCGTATATCTCAGCATGTCACTGTAAATTTTGTCCCATGATGAGATGCATAAGGAGCAGATGAGAAGTATCTTGAACCAGACTCCTTGAATCTGTGAGCGTCTTTGGGCAGTGTAGAAACACAGGAGAGCGCGTGGCTGTTCATTCTGCTATATCCTGACTTAACTGAATGTTTGACTGTTACGCTACGTGATACCTGTAAGCATCTGTGTTTTGATAAATAATCTGCATTCATCCTTTATCCGTAACATCCTTTTCTCTTCTTCCGCCAACATTGATGTTTCTAAAGTGCTTTTGATATACCTGCTAGTGAGGAAAGCTTGGTCATGCAATGGTTGTATCATATCATCTCAGCCTTGCTTGTGTCCTCTCCTAAAATTTGAAAATCCAGGATTTGCTACTTGTATATAACAATATATAAATACATGAGCGTCTGCAAAGGTGTGCAGCGCACTTTAAGGTGCATACAAAACGTGGTGTCGGTAGCAAAAGCCTGGATAACCCCTCATCGTTTATCTCTAGGACAAAGTGCAGTTTATCTGTGATGCACATGAAGTTTGTTCCTTGCTCTCAGCACCTCTTCCCCCAGCTTTATCAGTATCTCTGCTATTCATTCGAATGTATTCTTTGTACCTACCTGGGGAGACGAATACATCATACGGCTTTCTTGGTTTTTATATTAGAGTTTCAGTAGCACGTTACTACAGGGTGTTTAAGTTTATAAGTAGCACAAAAAGAACACGCTGCCAGCAACATCTTCTCATTTCTGAGTCTCTTCCAGCACAGGCAGGTCTGCTGAGAATACAGGAAAGCTTACGTACGCCCCTCTCCAAGCCCACGGTCTTGTAGGGAGATGACTCAAGTGTTGCAGGTATCCAAACAATTGCTAATTTGGGCATACGCCGTTCTCTTGAGAAAGTCTGGAGAGTTCTGGAGCAGTGGAGTTTCGTTTGTTCTCAGAATTTCTCCTGGACAACCATACTTTATCTGACAAGAGTATTTTATAAAATAGTGTATAGCACCGGAATAAAATTGCTTGCCCCGTACCTTTAACGCTTGCAACTGATAACATTTGCCTTCTCTTTCTGGTGGTCTTCAAGTTTAAAATATTAAAGCGTATGTGCAAGTGTTTTCTTGCAGTCAAACACTTGTGTTATCTTTGCAAAAACATTTCATCCTACAGTTTTATAATTGCTGTCAAAGAGAATGAGACCTTACTGTCTTTCTGCTGCCCACTTGACTTTCTCTGTTTTGTGGCGTATGATTGTTTGAATAACTATAAACCATAGAATAACCATATTGATAAATTTGTACTGATTTGGGAGCTTTAAATGGGCTTGGTACTTCCTGCAGTCACGGATAGGGGTGTGCGTGCCTGAGATAAAAGCATGGATGTCTTAGCCCAGTATGGCATTGCAAAGTATTACTGTCTAATTCCTTTATCCCAATAAACAGGACAGCAACACCAGGGTGTTGGCCAGAACACTTGGGTGTGCCCTGGCAGAGGAGTGACATACCACAGAGGAGTGACCGCATCGGCTCAATCCTAAATGCGTCTCTCCTAGACACTGTCCTGACACAGTCGAACGAATCATCTGGCTGTGCAAGTTGCTTTGCAGCGTTGCGGAGCAAAATACTCCTCCTGCCTCTGTGTTAACACCACTTCATATTTAGCAGAGCTGTGTGAAAAAGAAGAAATAATCCGTGCACTGAAATCAGGCTGTCGTGTTGTTTTGATCTATTAACTGTTAATTATTACACCGCCTGCTTTTGGAGAGCTGTTGCTGAAGATGTTGGTTTTGTTGAACAGCGGTGCCGGGCAGAGCGATGCTCCTGTGTCGAGCAGGAGCCAAAACAGCCCAACGTGACTGTTTGTTCTGCCATATCCTGACTTAACCGAGCGTTTGACTGTTAAGCTACACAATATCTGTAAGTGTCTGTTTAGATAAATAATCGTTCAGTTTACTGTCAGTAAATACTACAAGGTGTGAGATTAATATTTCACAGTGGCTCAGTAGCTGTGTTTTGCTTTCATTTGTTAACTGCTAGGTCTGCGCTTCTTTTCACAGTTCTGCTTTCAACTGAATTACAAAGAAGTTTTGCTGTCTCCAGTCCTTTTTTTTTTCCTTTGTTTTCCACGTTCTCTTTGTTTTAAATGTAGATAACCAATAAGGTAACTTTTATTTCTGTTACAGAATTTTCTCTTTCCTGGATGTGGTCACTCTGTGTCGTTGTGCTCAAGTTTCCAGGGTAAGAACCTTCCTCCTTGCTGGTGGATTTTAACAGTTGATTGGATTTGGGTGACAATCCTCTCGCTCCAGCCTTCCCTAGCACGTCAAACCGGGAGGATTTGTACCAGGGAGCTTTGTGCAACTCAACTATTGTTATTTAGTGTCCTGTATTAACGCCGCAATACCAGAAACTTCTGATGGCACCAGTGAAGGGGGACTCAAAGCTTGCATGCCATTTTGCCCCGTGTCCCAGGCCCTGAGCAGGTTACAAAGGGGAGGTGGCTGACTTTTTGTCCAAGAACTCTCCAGTCAGCCTGGGTTTGTACAGGAGGCCTGTGCTGATGAAAATACCAAAGCTGGATGAGTCTAAAATGGCATCGTGTGGTTTTTGGTGGGGATATAGAAGTTTTGATTCGCAAAGATGCTGCACAGTCAGTGAAAGCTTGCTTTCCTGCTTGGATGTAAGCATGGAAGACAAAAATGAGTGTCTGTTTTGTTTAGGGATGTTTTTTTCCTTAAGTAGCTCATAGTTTTGTGGGCTTCAGCTAATGAAATCCAGCTTGGATTGTTTGCTTGGGAAAATTCCTCCAACTACAGGTCCAGTTATCTAGAGCTACCAGATCTGTTCAGATAGTTTATCCTGCCAGTATCTAAGAAGACACACAGAGGAAGCATTACTACAGCAAGAGTGGAAAGTCGGTTACACGGAAAGGTGTTTGTAGTGGTGTGTTCACCGTACTGGCAGAGCCGGTGCTGAGTGACACCTGTACAAAACTGATCAATCTTTGAACTATAACTTGTTTCACTATTCGGAGTACATAAGAGTTAAAAAAAAAAAACCTTATGCTTAAACATTTTTAATTGCACTAAAAAATACCCTGTGTGATGTCTAGGCATTACAGTTATCATCCCATGTTCTCTGAATAACGTAGGTCCTCTAGTGAAAGATATTCCAGCTGAAACTCACTGCTCCAGCAGAACAATATTGACCAAAATGGGCTGTCAGATACTTGCCAGTGTCAAGACGTACTCCCATTTTTGTCGCTTGCTCCTGTTTACGCAGTCCGCGGGGCATCAGAGAACGTATTAGTCATTATGTGACACAGCATGTGTTGTAAAGGACTAAAATATCTGCGCAGAGCTACAGAAAGGCTGTATGTAATGTTGCCTACATTAGACATTAAAATATGCTGTGTTATAACTTGCATCCACTGATGCATTTCTTTTCCACTGGAGCTATTACTTTTATCATGACAGTAACTAGACCTTAAAACAAATATCAGCAATGAGATTTAAAATGCAGAAAATCAGTTAATGCTTACAGTTCTATCGGCTGTTTAAGTCTATACGTGGCTTGCACAAGAACTGGTATATTGTGATGGAGATGCAGCTTAGTGCATGTAATAGATGGAGTATAAAAACATGCCTATAGACATGCACTCTTTCATAATGATGGACTCATGGTTATTATGAGATCTAGTTGTTTTACTTTGATTATGTAATTAAAGCTTCAAGTACAGTACTGTGTTGACAACCTTTTTGATTCATTAAGGACAGAATTATTAACTTTCAGTTCCTGGTTCTCATTTGTAGCATGAACCACACCAGGTTGGTTTGTTTCTTTAAAAAAAAACAAAGCAAACGCTTAAGTCAGAGGTAGTAAACACTGTCACTCCGGTAGTGGTGCATAGTTCTCGGGTAAGAGCTGGATGCTTTATCTGGACAGCTTACAAAGCCTTGAATTTCTCCATCTGTGGGACGCAGCACCCCATGCACCAAGCTGTGGAACTGCCTTGAACATCTCTTTCTGCTGGAGGCAAGAGAGGAGGTGTGCGAGATGACAGCCTCACCCACCACTTACGGGATCTCGCCGCATAGTCCCCTGTCCCGGCGCCACAGAGTCCTCCATGCCCTCAGACTAGCTTCACCGCTCTTGTCAGCGTAGATGCCTGGTGTAGGGTCTCCTCTGGGACTCGCCCATGTCCTGGTATCCTTCATCGTCATGTTGGTCCTGCTAGCATCCTTTAAAGGCGTTGGTTTAGCTGGTGATGCTGCAGAGGGGATTAGATTCCAGCCAGGACTGTGAAGATGCCCGCGCTCCAGCACTGCCTCCTGTCCTGGGCTCAGCATCTACGCCTCCCCTGGGAGCAGAAGCGGCTGGGGCACCGCGGGCTTGCCTGTTTTGGGGACTTGCGAAGAGTGTGCCGTGTAGGTGAGGGGACTCTTGTCCGAGCAAGCGATTCTGGTAACTGCACGGTTTTCCTTGTTGGCTGTAATTACTTGTTGCTTTTACATCTGAGACAGAATGTTGTTTCTAAAAGGAGCAAACTGTAACTAGGTCCCCACTGGCGGGTTTTTTCGTATTAACAACACATTTACATTTTTTTCCCCCGATTAAAGGCATGGAATGTTCTGGCCCTGGATGGCAGTAACTGGCAGCGAATTGACCTGTTTGATTTCCAGAGGGATATTGAGGTATAATTAAGTGACATACAAACCCATTTTTCTTGTTAAAATGTAATTACAGCCTAGAATGGATTAATACTCCCAGCGTAACCCTTTTTACCTTCCCTGGAGATAGAAATCATTAATTTCAGTTCTTCTTAGCTTCAGGGAGTCTTTTAAAGTCTTGGCAATCCATTCAGCTTTTGAAAATGGACAGAATTATATATCTATATCAAGACTTGCTGGCAGTAATAGAAGGAAAGTATTTTTGTGTGTTCTGAAAACAAAAATAAGTAGAATAGGTACATTCTTGTGGAAAACTACTGCTTCTGTATAGCAGAATTCAGGCTACTTTTCCTTTCACTCAAAGAAATGTTAACATAGTGCTGACTTAGACCATTAAGACTGGATGTCTTTTGAAACATGGCCTGCAATATGTCTATCCTTTCCCATCTATCTTTAATATCAAAAATTAAAATGTAAGTGAAGGTGGTTCAGGGGGACGAGGTCAAAATTGTTCCTAAAAGATGCAGCTTTGGAAATGCTTCATTGTAGCTGTCCTAAATCTGTTAGATGTGGACTACGCGGCACTGATAGGAATGGACGCTGTTGTCATGCTGTTCTTAAAATTAAAATTACATTAATCAGGAAAAGGGACGAGGAAAAAAAACCCTTAAGTTTCTTATCAGAGTGTTATATCCTCTTTAAAACATGTTGGAGGAGGGAGATAGGGAGTGTATCGTTTTAACTCGTTATAGACAGAGGCATAAACCAGATGATGACTGAAGAGTCACACCTCGTGGGAACCGGTGGGAAACACACACGTTATTTGTGGAGGAAAGAGTTAAAATAATCGCTTTCTGCCAGCCGGGTATCCAAGCAGCTGAGACGCACGGATAAAGGAACAGGCCTGTGATACTGTGACTTCTGCATGCTTGCAGGGGTCTAAGTGGCCTGAGGCTTCTTGAAGGAAGTAAATGGTGTGATTTTTGTTCTTGATAATAAATACTTTATCTCTTACCGTGCCTTGAAAGTTCTGGACCCATATAATTATTTGCTTTCCTAGAGGTAGAGCAAAGTTACCGGTGGTGCCTGGTTTGTGGAGGTAGCAGGAAACGTGGACAGAGCTTGCTCAGCCTTGCTGCTGTCGTTGGTCTGTGTAGGAGGGAGAGAGGCAGGAGTGCTGTGAATACAAACTAGGCTTTTCTCATTCTTGAGTGGTTTTTGCATGGTTTTAATGTCTCTTTGTTCTCTAACACCATTCTATACATCAAACACATATTCTTGCATAAGCACAGACTTCCCCTTTTAAAACAAAATGCTTGAATATGTTGGACCTGACCTAAAAGTACCCGCTAGACTTTCTGCTGTCCTGAATGTCGTTTGCTTTAAAGGATCGTAAATCTATCGGTTGATGAAAATTCTCTGTATAAACGTGTTTGAATCCTCTAATTCAAGCATATGAATTCATAGGCTTGCTAGAGGAATCGCAAAAACACGCGGACTTGTTTCAGGTTTTCCAGCCCTTCTACACGGATGTGCAGGTCGAGCTTCAGCCCTCTGTCAGCCTTCAGCCCGGGCAGCGCTTCAGCAGTACGCTGCGGCCGTAGAGCTGCTCCCGTAGCCCCTGAAAGCGAGTGGCCAGCTGTCGCCAGAAGCCCGTGCAGAGATCTAGTTAAGCTGGTGCCCCTGTTTTCATTGTGGTATTACGTTGTACCGAGCCTGGTGCTTGACATTTTTTTGGACTGGAAAAAGATTATAGGAGAGTATCTTCATCGTCATAGAGGCCTTAAATGCCAACTAGTACTTGAAGAACCGAGTGATGTTCCTGTTCTGTGATGAGCAACCGCGTAGACTGAAGTAGAGGGGAAAGTTTTGAATTTCTGGACACTGATAGAAATATTCTCTCAACGGTTTTTGCACCTCATTCACAGTGAGAGATAGCTGGGTAAATGCTAGCTTGTAGCAGGGTCTTTGGAGGCTTCCACTGATTACAAATTTGAAATTAAAAAAGCATTTTTCTAGATTTTTCTTGAACACAAATGTTTGAATCCCTTTTTCTGTGAGAATAAAACTCGTGGGCTGCTTCTGCCTCATCTCTGTTTTGAATAGAAATTTAAGTATATCCATTTATAGTACATTGACTGTACTTATTTGTAAATCTTACCGCCCACGTTGTAGCAATGGCATGGCTTCTTTCATCTTTCTTGGGTAGTCTGTATCGATGTCCAGGAGCTCTGAACTGGAGGAAATTCCTCAGTCATTAGCCTGAGTGGCTTTAGGTAATTGTTCCTTGTCTCTCCATCTTCAGAAGCTGAATAATTCTCCCTCTCCCTGCCTTAGATTATTATCGTGGCATTTTTGTTTTCTTAGCGCTGTTTTACCGAGAATAACAAACTGTTGTTAATCTGCAAAGTTTTGAATTCAACTTTTTGAATGATCAGGTCACTTTTGGATTTTAATGTAACTCTTTCTGTCTCCGACAGGGCCGAGTAGTTGAGAATATTTCTAAAAGATGCGGGGGTTTCTTGCGGAAGTTAAGCCTGCGTGGCTGTCTAGGAGTGGGAGACAATGCGTTAAGGTAGTGGTATGGCTTCTTTCTGCTCTTAACTGTGATGTAAAGGATGATTCGGTTTCTACAACCACAGAAGTTTGGAATAATTTATGAACACTTTGGAACTGAGATCTTTAGCCTGTGTGTCTAACTTAAAACATCAAGAGCGGTGACATATAAGCCTTTTTAATTTATAATTTTTTAACTTCACACAGTAGCCATTTTTCTCAGTTCTCATTAGAATAATGCCAGCTGCTGCTACAGGCTAAGTAGTAATTGGCACTGAATTACAAGCTTTTGCCTTTAGGCTGGGAAATCCCAAGGCAAGATATGGGGCAACATAAATTATTTATTTTATTTATTTACTTACTTATTTTGCTTGAGACAACTTTGTAAAATTGAATCTGATGTGTTATGGTTAAAACAAATGCTGTAAAACATCTGGAAATCCATTGCCTGAAAAATACTGTTTTCCCTTTTCTTTAATAAAGGACATTTGCACAGAACTGCAGAAATATTGAAGTATTGAACCTGAATGGCTGTACCAAGATCACAGATGCGTGAGTAACGCTCTCATCTCTGTTTGCCCTGTCATCCCCTTTTCTGCATGTACCATGTTATATTCTCAGTTTCCTTTTTAAGGGAAGGCCAGGCTTGTGCCTGCAGTAGATATTATAACGCATGTCATCTGAAATGTATATGGCTTTGAATAAATCTATGGCATGAGTGTGTCTTGTATGCTCTCTTTCAGTACGTGTACCAGCCTCAGTAAGTTCTGCTCTAAACTCAGGCACCTTGATTTGGCTTCCTGCACTTCCATAACCAACCTCTCTCTGAAAGCACTGAGGTAGGAGTCAACAACGCTGACTTTTGCCCCTTGATTCCAGATAGCGTGACCCACCATTGCCCCGTGTGTCTCGTGTGCCTTGGAGGAGACTGACACAGGCTGAGGTGTAACTGTGATTAGAGCTCGGGCATTCCCCAGCAGAGCTCAACATTCACACGTTGTGCCTCCTGGTTTGCCCAGACGGAGGAGGAGGAGGATTCAGTAAAAGCTGCCCTCGACCTTGTTTGTATCGGTCCTGATAGTTATTAGCAGTAGAAGAAGAATTATATTCTGTTGAAGTCTCGGAGGAGGGATTTTGGGGGAGACAAAAGTCTTAGTCTGCCTTTTTAAAGTGCCCCTCGACCTTGTTTGTATCGGTCCTGATAGTTATTAGCAGTAGAAGAAGAATTATATTCTGTTGAAGTCTCGGAGGAGGGATTTTGGGGGAGACAAAAGTCTTAGTCTGCCTTTTTAAAGTGCTCGTTTACTAACAGTCAACTTCTTCATTGTAAGTGTACCATTGTGTACTTAGCAATTGTTTACATAGCTAGAAGGTGAACACCAGCATGTGACTATTTGTCTTTTTAAACTGCTTAGGAGACATATAACTGCTTAAATCTGCTAAATGGAATTGCCAAGTAATCTAGAAAAGGAAGGGACAGACAGACATTGGTGGGAAGATATTGGGACAGAGAAAAGGAGGCAAAAAAAACATTAAAGGTAACAATAGAGGCCAAGCTATTAAAAAAAAAAAAAATTCAAGTGATATACCAGTGGAATAAAAGAAAATACAGGAAAGCTGTATCACGGGGAAAAAAAACTGGAGGATGAATCTAGGTACCAGAAGAAAACACAGATTTGAAAGAACAAATGAATGATTAAATTATTTTTGTAGCTACATTAAAATACTTCGAGCCTGGTTTTTCCTTCCCTTGAGGGTCTTCATCCTTGTCTCTCATTTCACACGGTCAGATTTGTGCTGCAGCATCTTAAATACATGACAGCGTGTATATCTCTCCCTAATTACAAATTACACTTGAGTGTTACTCCGACTGGCAGCTATTTGCAAACGCAAAGTTACACCTGGGAAGTTAGAAGCAGCATGGCAGAAATCGACCCTATTTCTGGTGTTCGTTGAGGGTGGTTTGGTTGTATTCAGATCCGGAAAGCCCATAGTGTCTGTCCTCGTGTAGGAGCTGGGAGGTGTCCAAAATGGGATAAATCGGTGGTCTTTTACCCTGCTTTAGAGCTCCTGTTACTGCCTCTGGAGAGCTCTTCGCATCTGGAGAAGATGTTTGACAAGAGCGTTGCCCGTGGGTGTGGGGGGTGCGGGTGTACGTCTGTGCTCATGTGGGTTCCAGAAATGGGGATTTCCTAGTTTCTGCCTTGAAGCAGGATTTCTTTCCAAAACAAAACCCAAGTTTCCACACGCTTTTCCTTTCACCCCCAAAGTGAGGGATGCCCACTGCTGGAACAGCTGAACATCTCCTGGTGCGACCAAGTGACTAAGGATGGCATCCAGGCTCTGGTGAGAGGCTGCGGTGGACTCAAAGCCCTGTTTCTGAAAGGCTGCACGCAGGTACGGCTCTATGGAGAGTGCTCAAATTGAATAATAACAGCTGGCGTATTCCTGCTGTAACTGAAAGTGTGGGGATGAAGTATTGTGGATTTTTCTATTTCCAGAAATGTTACATTACTGAAATTACTCACAATCTGTCTGTTGGAGATTAACTGCTTTTACTGAAATTCTTTAATAGCTTTGAGCTCAGCGTGAATAGTGGGACAGTGAACCAATTGCATCTCTAGCTGTAGAATCATTCTTCTTTTTTCCCCATCGGGAACATATTGAGCAAACTTTTATAAAGAGGAGATAACTGTTATTCATGGCTAAACCCATCCGTTTCTGAAGGCTCAGAAAATTTTAGAAAGCGTGACAGTACTTTCATCTGCGCTGGTGACTGAATTTCCTCTACGTGTCGTTTGGATCTTCTAGTTAGTCAAAGAGAATCACTGTGTATGTGACTCCTTGAAGAGACATCTCTGCAGCCGGTCAGGGGCGTAGTGCTGTTCCCTCAAGTACATCGTATAGCTCTTGAGCTGTAACAGTGCATTTTGAAGAGGCTGCAGAGACCGTGATGCTTGTACTTTGGAATATATAAATGCTGCACTAACTCTTACAGCTGAAAGGGGGGGGGTTGCCCCCATGTTATACTTTTTGTTATTTAGACTAACTTCCTTTAATCTTTCTTTACTGTCTTACCCGGTGAATCATTGAAAAGTTTAATATGTTAAATACTTCCCTGTATTACAACTTTGCTAAGGACTTATATCAATTATGAACTGGGGCGTGGGGAACATCAACCTTGAGCGTTACTCTTTTAATGAGCAAGAGCTCCTCGCAAAGCTATTTCACAGAGAACGTGGGGCCTAATTCTTATTTTTTTTTACTTAAGTGGGCTGGGGTCTTTTTGATGTGGACAGATAGGCTAGAAAGGAGGAGCAAACGTGTATCTCAAATCTTGTCCTTGAAAAAGGAGAGTAAAACTGACCCTGCAGGAGTTGAAACCTGTGACCCAGAGACTCCCGAGAGTTTAGGAGCCTCAAGGTAGATCTGGAAAATGATCTCTGATCTGTTAGGCCCTTGTACCCGAGCACTGACAGTGCTTATTTGTTTCGGATTTGTTTTGTTTTGTTTTTTTCTTGGGGGTAGGGATTCCTTAAGTATGAGTCAATAAGTGCCACTTTTGTCTGCTGTGTATAGATAAACAGCTATATGTTTTTATTTTGCAAAAAGCATATTTCTCCTGTGCGTGCACACAGAAAGTCCTGAAAGGTTGTTACGATAAGCTCTGTTAGGCTGTACCCGAGCATTGACAGTGCTTATTTGTTTCGGATTTGGTTTTTTTTTTTTCTTGGGGGGGGGGGTTCCTTAAGTATGAGTCAATAAGTGCCACTTTTGTCTGCTGTGTATAGATAAACAGCTATATGTTTTTATTTTGCAAAAAGCATATTTCTCCTGTGCGTGCACACAGAAAGTCCTGAAAGGTTGTTACGATAAGCAAAGCAATAATACACTGGTTATGTGCACAAAGCAGTAATATCCTTGTGTGCACGAGCCAGCCCAGCTGTAAGGGTATGAGTCAATAAGTGCCACTTTTGTCTGCTGTGTATAGATAAACAGCTATATGTTTTTATTTTGCAAAAAGCATATTTCTCCTGTGCGTGCACACAGAAAGTCCTGAAAGGTTGTTACGATAAGCAAAGCAATAATACACTGGTTATGTGCACAAAGCAGTAATATCCTTGTGTGCACGAGCCAGCCCAGCTGTAAGGGCTATAGTCAGTAGTTTTTTCTAAATTTATACTACTGTTGGATTTTTAATACTTGAGATGGGTATACATGGCTGTAAAAATGACTTGATTAAGGGTAGAACAATCTCAGCCTATTTTGAGAATTCAGGTCATAGAAACAGCTTGAGTTTCTAGTAATTTATGGAGTCGTGAGTAATATTGATGGCAATACATCCTTGTTATCAATTACTTGCCATCTGTTCTTATACATTTAAGAATAGCAGGCTTTTTTATCATCAGAAAGCAACCTGGATATGTTTGTGCTCCTCACATTGAAATAAGACTTTTTTTTTTGAGTTCAGTATTGCAATATAAAAACGGTGTTCCTTACAGGCCCTCACTAGTGAAGCGCTTCCTTAATTCCTGTAAATAGTTTCTGATTTCACTACTTGCTTTGTTAATTACGCATGTTTGATCAGATCAGCTTTTCTTTAAATCAGTAACTCAGTGTTGTGGGTCTTTGAACTCTGTTCCTGAAATGTTAAAAAGAGGGGGAAAAAAAAAGGGCATGTAGTTATTGCTGTGTATTTTGAGATTGCAGTGCGTTGCCCTCCTCCCCCGTAGGTATCCAAGCCACAGATGCTTTATTGTTCTCAAAGCTTTATTTTGAAGGTTGCTTCAAGTATTAACAGGTTGCTTCAGTCTCTGAATTTTTCTTTCCAGCTTGAGGATGAAGCCCTGAAATACATTGGTGCACATTGTCCCGAACTGGTGACTTTAAACCTTCAAACATGCTTAGTAAGTACAGCTTCCTATGATTTCCCAACTCAGCCATCACCGTGCATTTAGAGACCATCCCTAAGCAGAACCATGCAGAATGTACTTCATCCCAGAAACGTCGTCATCTGTGCAGACAGGGCAATTGTAAATTTGCGAGACTCTTAAAAACGGTTGATGAAAAACAGCTTTTTGGTAGCGTCCAGTAATGTTGGATAAGCCCCCGAAACAGTGTTAGAGCATTCAGTTTGTCAGAATTGTTTGCCTCTCTGCCCTGCCCACGGGGCTTCTAAACTCATTTGCACGACTAGCTGGAAAAATTCTTTCCATCGGGCTGGAGCGTTTGCGTGGTGATCTAGCCAGGCGGTTCCCCCGGTCTCTTCGTAAAATTGAACCAAGAAGTGCAGTTTCCCTGCACGGAAGGGCTCTAAACCAGTTATTCTGCAGTGCCAAAAATGTATATTTATGCCAAAAAAAGAAATCAGAATAGGCTCTTTGTACATACCATCATGCAGTTAGTCTGACACAGTGAGTAACTGGGCAGTCTCTTCCTTTTCCACGGAAGTGGGCAAGGATTTTGGGGGGCTGCAGGGCTGTCCTTTCCCACTCCGGTTTAAGGAGCAGCTTTACCGGTTACTAGACTGGCTAGAGACCGGTGCCCATCTGTCTGAGACTGGGCTCTTGTGGAGGAGGAGCTGGACTGTTAGCAAGTTCCAGACCTGCGTCTGGGGTCTAGGGAAGAGGCAGGAAGGGGAGAGGCAAACAGGCCGAAGGGAGAAGAAAATTAGTGAGGTTCTTGATCGCCTTAACTGAAAATACCAAGTTCTACTCAGTTTCTTCAACAGGCTTGCTGTTTGCTATTTTAAAAGAAGCAGTGCCAGTCCCTAGGTTGGTGCTTTTCCGTGGGAATTGAGTCTGGCTGCCTCTGAAAATCCAGAACCTAAGAATTAAGTGAGGTTTAACCTGGTCCTCCGGCATGCACGGCCTCTGCCACCTATTGTCCCTTTTTCCCCTCATCCCACTGCCTGTGTTGCTCTGGATCCCGTGCGGCTCCTTGGCACAGCCACGCTGAGTCCCAGCCCTATGTGCTCACACGGGGAAACATCTGGAGCAGATTCGTGCACTGTTGCCATCCCAGACTCGTGAGCAGAGCACGCGGGGCTGGACGGGACCCTGTGTGTCTGGGGACGCAGCGGGTCGATGGAGCTGCCGCGCCACGGGGTGAATTTAACATGATCTGGGTTGTAAGCCTCTCTCTCGCAGTTCAGGTTTTGGTCCCAAACCACTGAAGTGTATTTTTTTTAAAAGGCTGTTTGTGAAAACAACCTGCTGCTTATTTTTGTGGGTAACTCTGACTGTTAGGTGCTTTCTTGTCTTGAGTTTCAGCCAAGAAGGTCTTTACAAGCAAGGGTTGCAAAGGAAGGCAGGAGACCGAGTCTAGGCCTTCCCCCATCGCTCACGTGGCCCAAGCTCAGAAATGTTTCCACGCATGTGGAATCACTTTCTGAATGTTTACAAGTCACTTCAACGTGGCTTATCCCGTTTCAGCTGCTCCAGTGAAATATTTGAATGCATTTTTGGGTTGAAAGCAGCATAACTTGGCCTCAGTTAAGTGCCTGGTTGGAAGTCTGAGAAGGAAAATATGCAGTGCCTTGCACCTCCACCTACGTTGTTATGGCTTGTGATGTTGTTATTGTTTTTCTTGTAGCAAATAACAGATGATGGTCTCATTACAATATGCAGAGGATGCCACAAGTTACAATCCTTGTGTGCTTCAGGCTGCTCTAACATTACAGATGCCATCCTGAATGCCCTGGGACAGAACTGCCCAAGGCTTAGGTAAGTTTTCGCTGCAGTTACCCGAGCTCCAGTGACCCGCTGCATGTTGAGCAAAGGATCTTGGTGACACGGTCGTGTAATATTTGAGCCATTTTAGACTCTGAAGGTCTTTCTGAAAGCGCACTTTTTGTCACTGAGCTTTTTCCAGGCGTTTGCTGTGGGATGATCGTAGTTTTACCCAAACTTCTGGTTTCTAAACTTGCACGAGTAAAACAGTGGTAAAAGAGCTCCGTGCCGTGGTGGTGAGCGCTGCCAATAGGCTCGCTTAGCAGCAGTCTCCTTTTGCACCATTGTGTATCTACTTTTGTTCTTTTATGAAAAACAGTTGAGGTTAGGTTATTTTTGTACTGAGAACTGAAAACACATTTAAACAACATTGTTTCCTCTTGGCATGTGACATTAACAGGGTTTTCATGATGATTTTGTAGCAGATGGAATTTGTGCTTTCACTCTGCTTGACAGAGTGGGCTTCCAGCGACATCTCTGCAGGTGCTTGCTTTTTTCTATTTTTTTAAGACTTTTTTTTCCCACTGGGACAGGTTTCTTCAGGAAGACTTCACTATAATTCAGAAAATGTCTTTTCTTTCTGCACCTGGCCAGTTTTATTATCTGACACCTGTAACAGCTGAGCGGCCTGTTTTAAATGGCATAAAATACATGTCTTCTGGGGAGGGGAGGAAGCCACAACTGTTTTCTGTGATAAGCTCATTTAAAGAGTTGTGGGTACGAAGTGCAGCATACAAATGTATGGAAACCAGTTTTGAAAGAGGAAGGTAGAACATTATTTTGGTTCCAAATGGTTTCTGTGTTTATGTTCCGCTGCAGCTCTACAGCATTAAGCTGCATACGGTAAAGTGCATAACACACTTCAGGCAACTTGGCTTTCTGTTCTGTAAAGGTAGCTAAACGTGTTAACATTGTGAAGCAAACCTCTGTAGAGCTGCGGTAACTGTCTGCCAGAAAGTTTATCTGTTGTCACAGAAGCAAGCAGTTCGCCTCTGAGAAGACTTCAGACTCTTCTGTCGTGGCATTAAATATTTATTCTTTCATGCCCGTCTGCCAGGTTGTCGTGTATTACACCCTTTTTCACGATGAGATCTGTATTTTGGGTGGAAACCAGAAGAGATCACTTGGGGAGGTTGTGGATTGTCCAGCAATGGAGGTTTTTAAGAGCACCTTAGTCCAACATTTGTCGGATTAGACCTCCCTGCCTCGTAGCAGGGTACGGACTGGATGACCCTTGGAGTTCTCTTTTAGCCTGACTTCTTTTCTTCTTTCCCTGTGACCTACACTCAGGTATAGAGGGTGGATGCTCTGTGCAAATTATCCTCTCAGAGAGCACAGCCTAAACCGGGTCAAACTTTTCTGGGTTGCTGGAAGCTTTTAATGAAACACTCTGAAAAGCAAAATGACTCCACCATGGTTATTATAAATTCTTTCTGTGCAGAATATTAGAAGTTGCAAGGTGTTCTCAACTAACAGATGTGGGCTTTACCACTCTAGCTAGGGTAAGTGCTCGTTTCCACTTTTTCATCAAGTAGCTTTGCTTTCTTTTCGTGATAGATATGAACAAACAGTAGCTTTCTCTTGAATGTAGATTTTTGTAATGCTTTCGATCTCAACGTTGGAGTGGAAGCTAAGTTGCAAAAATTAGGTTGTCTGTAATCTTTGGCACTGTCCTGACCCACACATCTAGGAGGATGTGCTTCCAAACTACATGAAATGTTAAATACTCGAGAGTTATAAACTTTACTGTTTGTTTTTTTCTAGATTAATCTGTGTTCTATACAACTGACCCTAAATTTAACCTCCTTTTACTTTCTATGAATAAAAAAACTCAGTGCCTTTAAACGAGTGAAATTGCTAGATTTCCTTTACTATGTTTGGTGGTGTTTGTAAAAAAGCAGCGAACTTTCCTTTCAGTCGTGATGTTTCATGGAGGAAAAACCTTCATTTTTTAAAAAGGACTGTTTTCATTGTGGTTGTGTTTATATTTGCTGTCTGAACTTCGCACTTAGCTTGTGTGTTCGATCTTTTGTTTGTTCCTAGAACTGCCATGAGCTTGAAAAAATGGACCTGGAAGAGTGCGTCCAGGTAGGAGGTGCCACCTCTGGCTGTTACTTTTTTTAGCACAGTCACAGCAGTGTGGAAAGATCGTGAAAAAGTGGATTGTCAATAAATCAGAACTTGATTTAGAATCCTGAGCAAGAAGATCGGCTATATTTGGATAAGAAAATATTGCTTTTGTAGTTTGATCCTTTGTTCATATTTCGTAGTAATGAACGCTACTGTAAATAATAAAAGAAATCTTTAATAGTAATAGATGTGTCCTGAAGGTCACGTCATAGATGTGTGAATTGTGACCCTTGACACAAGATAAAGTCCCAGGGTAAGATCTCTGCGCATAAGGCAAGGCAAGGTCTGTGCTGCATATATTGCTAGAAATAATGGAAGTTACCTGTTTTGAAAAAAACATAGCCAGGTTGTTTGAACAGCAATGATTTTATAGAGGACATGGCAACAACTTGAAATAAAACTGGGGTGCCCATGCTACCATTAGCCTTCCTCAAAGGCAGTGGGATGTAATGTAATGAGTCTGTTATTGCTGAGTCTGCAGCTGTCTTCACTAGCTTTAAGGAGGTCTCTCGTAGGTGGCTGCACGCTGTTCTGTAGGGTATGTGCCGTAAGCTGATAACCATCTCAAGGTAGCGTTTACAGGGGAAGACAGCTGAATTTACTCAAGATCCCATGAAACATCTCGAACCCGAAGGTTAGATTTGAAATTGATTCAGATAAAGACAGTGGAGGTAATAGGATTTTGCTTCCTGCCATGAGAACAGCGTGACCCCAGTATTCTGTGCTTCCTGATGTTTACAGGGCAGAAATTCAGGCGATCACAAGAGGAAATTACAATAGTCCAGACAGGAAGTGATTTAAAGTTAACCCAAAAAAGGAAGAAGAAAAATCGGGCTGTGTCCTTGGACTGACTGCATTGAACAAAGGCAGCCCAGCGAGTTCCCTTCCGAATGCTTTTGGATTAGAAAGCCAGTGTGCTGAGTCTCTTTCTTCCTGAAGAATAAAGGGGAACAGTTCAGCAATCCACCAAGGTGTTGGCAGGGGATTTGAACACCTCTTGTACTTTCAGAGACAAACATTTAGGAGACACTGGGGTGTTGAAGAGGTCTGCTCACTTGCTTTTTCTAAGTGTGAGCTTATTTCGTGAGAGCTACTGAAGGAAGTTCAAAAAAACAACAATACCTACGTCTTAGTGGTCCTTTAAGGACATCAGTTGATTTCTGTGAGGGAGCGGAAGAATCCGTACATCTGAAACTTGGTCACACAGGAGATGAGTTCCTGAGGGGCTGAGGAGAGTGACTGTGGGGAACACTGTCATGGATAAGGCAGAAGTTTGCAGTTTTTCTTTCATGGGGGGGGAGAAAAGCCCTTGTGCAAAGCACCCAGCGTGAAAGGGCTTTTTCTTTTTTTCCAGATAACAGACAGTACGCTAATCCAGCTTTCCATACACTGTCCACGGCTTCAGGTTCTGGTGAGTATAAGTGAGACTTTCAGCATTTTCTTTCTATAAACAAAGGGATCTTAAGCAGTGCCCGTGGGGATTTGTCTCTTTGACTTCATAGACATGTTGCGAAGGCTTGGAAGAATTCAGCTAGAAACTTGACCCTGAAGAATCTATTGTCCCTCCCCTACCGCTAGCATTAATCGTGCGCCAGGCACCCACAGCTGCCTGAAAATGAATTCTAGGACACGGGATTCTCCTGGTACCAGCCTCTGGCTGTCCTCAGCAAGCCTAGCAGAATCTGTCTACAAACTGGGCTGTCAGTCCATCTGTAGGAGAGGAGACTGCAGCCCTTATCACCCGTAGTATGGAGCTGGGCAACTGAGACCTGGAAAGCTTGTTGGCTCTGGAAAGCAATGTTCCCCTTGGTCTAAATTTCTGGGAATTTAGTCTCGGTCTCCTCTGCATCCCTGTGTGTACTGCTCCGTTGTCATTGTGAGAGAACCTGTCCTGGGAGGTGGGGGGGATGCAGTCAGTGGGTTCCCCTGTGCAGCCGTTCCTTCTGCACGCTGTGCCCCTCACCAAAGCAACAGGCTGATGCTATCTCCTAGCTCGAGCCCCGCTTCCTCCTCAAGAACTTTTAAGATGCAGCCCCCCCCAAAAAAATGTACCAAGTAGGTGACGACGTATTTCTGCTGGTTCTTAGACCCAGTGACAGGGTCCTTTCCATGATTTTACAAAGATGGTTTCTTCGACAGCAGAGATAAATACTCCATTTCTGAGCTGTCCTGTCTCCTGGCCCTGTGGGTCTCGCCTTTCAGCAGCAGCCTTTCCCACTGCACTTCAGCTATGAGTCTTCCCCCTGCAGGCACGTTAGCCGTTGGAGGCCCACGGAGCCCGGTGCCTGGAGCCTGAAACTCAGCAGCGGCTCCAGTGCAAGGAGAGACTATAGACCTCCAAAACGCCAGCGTGGCAAACCAGTCCAAACTTAGGAAATGCGGGCCGTCTTCTCACTCGTCCCACAGTGCCCCCCGGCAGGGTGTTGGCTTCTGCTTTGCCGATGGCAGAGGCCGCTAACTTGCTCTGTTTGGATGCAGAGTTTGTCCCACTGTGAGCTGATCACGGACGATGGGATTCGTCACTTGGGAAACGGCGCCTGCGCGCACGACCGCTTGGAGGTGATCGAGCTGGACAACTGCCCTTTGATCACGGATGCCTCCCTGGAGCACCTGAAAAGCTGCCACAGCTTGGAGAGGATAGAACTGTACGACTGTCAGCAAATCACGCGGGCAGGGATCAAGAGACTCAGGGTAAAAAAAAAAATATATATATACCACTAAGGCTGTGACTTGAACGCTTTATCCAGTGGGGAGGAGGGAGGGCTGAGGTTTCGGATTCCTCGTGATCTGGTGCTCATTCTTAAAAGTATTGTGAGAACCATAATCTATGGAGTTGATAGCTGTCCTGCACTCGGAAGTTTGGATGGGGATGAACGCTAGCTGGCAGGGAAGAGAGAGAATTGCTGCGTCCACTGAGTAGCAGCAGAAAGGAGCAGAGGAGACCCAGCGTGCGAGTGCTCATTTTACAGGCGCTCTTACGTGACAGTGCTCTGCTAAACGGGGGACCAAGAGTTAGTGCCACAGCAAATGTGTCGAATGGCACCTCCCCTCGACTACTTCATATGCTCGGCGTAGATTGTAGTGCACTTCCCACGTAAATAACTCAAGCTAATCCTGTCAGTCAGTCTGCTGTAGGGAAGGCTGCGTGTCCTTGTGAGTGGGACAGAGCCAGGGCCGCTCTGTCACTAGCTGCCGCTCAGCTGAGGCACTCCGTGTCCCAGCGATTCCCTCCCGAGTCTGTTTCTCCATCTGTAAAAGAGGAGCGATGATAACGTTTTATTTGCAAAGAGAACACGGATCTGTACAGTTAGACGTTGTTCTGTTCCCCACAGCTACCACAGGATTAATGGGGAGGAAAGAGCATCATTTTTTCTTATTCCCTCTGTTTTCTGGTAACAGAAAGAACTTGCTAATCCGCAGTCTGTGGGGAAATCACGCTGGTGAACTGAAAGGGTTCGACTCCAGTTCTTATGTGTGTGTTAGTTTGTAGTCTGAAGGCAAGTAAGCCAGGCCTATTTCCACTTCTCTTTGACTCTTGCACTGCCACTGCCCTTGTCACTTCACACGCTCTGTTTGTCTTTTCAGACCCATTTACCCAATATTAAAGTCCATGCCTACTTCGCGCCTGTGACTCCACCTCCTTCGGTCGGGGGCAGCAGACAGCGCTTCTGCAGATGTTGCATCATCCTATGACACTGGAAGTGGTCATCCTCGCAAACTGAGTATTTAATTACACTTGTAGAATTACGGTGGACACCAGTATCTTCAAGGAAAGCGATGCCAGTGTCATTTGCAAGGGCCAGTGAGCAGGGCTGTGGTGCCAGGCCCCTGTAGCCACCCATACACATACATATACACACCCCACCTGTTCCAGCAAACCGATGAACTCTGCAGTATGGGAGCTGGAGCTGTGTTGGCGTTTTCTGTAGGTGGATTGGTATAATTCTGAACCATTCCTACTGGGCATGCTCAGATGAAATCATTGCGGTAAGGAGGGGAGGTTTTTGCGAACCCAGAATGACTGTTGCTGCTGTTGAGGTTGGAATAGTAACTGAAATCCTTCGAAATGGGGAGAGGGGAGAGGAAAGGAACATGCTTTAACCCTGCCTCCGTTGTCTGGAAAGGGGGGGGAAACCAAACCTGAAAATCCCAAGAAGCTTTGTGTCCATTTTTCAGTGAGGGAGTGAAACAGCAGCTGTTGTGAGACATGATTTACTTGTGCTTCTCTACTTCCCGTTCCCTGCTGACCACCCTGAGCATGCTCACATTGAAGGTTCATCTGTTTCTTCTGTGTTCTGTAGCATCGAGCTCAGAGGCTTCCTAGATTGTTGTGGTATAGCTTGAAATCTGTAACGTCCGGCTCAGTTTTTTACCCTCCCTACATCCTGCTTTTTTTTTTTTTTTTCAGATTTTTAATTTAGTAATTCTGCTTTTTTTTTTTTTTTACAGATTTCTAATTCAGTAATTTTTTTTGAGATTTACCAAACAAAAGTTACGAATCAAAATTTGAAAAGTACTTTTTACCATTAGAAGCCTGAGCCCGTAATGACCTGTGACCTGGATTTCTGAAAGGCAAGTGAGCTGCACTACAGTAATTTTTTTTGAGATTTACCAAACAAAAGTTATGAATCAATAATTTAAATTTGAAAAGTACTTTTTACCATTAGAAGCCTGAGCCCGTAATGACCTGTACGGAAGATTTCTGAAAGGCAAGTGAGCTGCACTACAGGCTAGGCTCTGGTAGGCTTCTCGGCCTGTTTTTATCAGCGATTGGGTGTCCGAATTTGGTTTGCATTTCAGGTTTTATCCCAGTGACAAGAATATAACTCTTGGTATAGGGGGAAAAAGTTATAGTCTCTGTTCCAGTGACTGTAAGTTCCCTATTCCTGCTGTCCCTTCCCTCCAACCCTTCGTCCTGCCCCCAAGGAAAGCAAAGTAGGATCTTCTTGCTTGTTGCCCTGATCAAGAAATAATGACTCGCTAATGGACGCGGGAGGAACAGCAGGCCTGAAAATACGCCCTCAATTATTGTCACGTTGTTGTACACTGAGGCGCGAGCGCTGGGTGATTTTGCTGACTTGTGCATCTTCCGCAGGTAAGTGTCTTGCCCCAGAGAAGGAACCGTCTGAATGAAATGGGGTTTGCTACGTGCCGGTCCCTCCCAGCTGTCAGGGCGTATGTTCGTAGCACCTGGTTTTGGGGCATTTCAGGCAAGATTAGCCCAGGTGCTTCAGAGGAGTGTGGACAGCCCGGGCCAGCTCTGTGAACTCCCGGTTCCTTGCTGCTGGCAGTTCCAGGTGCCCAGTATGAAACCTGTGAACAGATGGGCAGATGCCAAGGGTTTAATGGGGCAGAACTCGGTCAAACTCTAACAGGTTTGTGGAAGACGAGCTGACGTGTAAGTAATTGCGCTCTTCCTGCTGTCTGCACCCCGGGATGGAAGGGAGCGCGCGTGTTTATGGATGGTTCCCAGCTGACCGAGACAGAGAGGAGCAAGTCTGTTTAATCATCCTAGCTGCCAGCAGCCAAGGAAGTGGTGCTTCACCTTTACGCTGAAGAATCTCACGGTGGGGGAAGAGCGGGGTGCAGCGCGAGGAACGGCTATGTCAGGGTCCCAGGGGCTTGTTTTTTCGCTGTGGGTTTGCTTTGAGGACGTTGTGTTGCTTCCCAACCCTCTTATCGCTGAGCTATTCGGGCAGTCAGAAGGGTCGCTTAGTACCACCGAAGCTCTATCCCCTTCATCTACAACTTCAATTCCCCCAACCCATCTGTGTATGCTTGACAAAGTCTTGCAGATGCACGGTCTGCTGGGAGGAAATCCAGTATGCTGTGTTTAAAAGGATACTGTCAATTCCTTTCCTGTAGATTGCTTTTAATCCGTTATATTTATTCAAATCCTCTTTAGCGCTGTGAATTCTCTCTCTCTCCTCAACGGGCACGTTCCTATACTTCCTTTGCAGAACTCCTTTCTCCGATTTTTCAGGGTGGCGGAAGATAATGGCGCTTCCCGTGGTAACGGACTGACTCCGGCCGGGCGTGCGTGCCTGGGGCAGCGCCCGGCAGTCACAGTGTTTGCACAGCTCTGGGAGGAACGCTGGGTTTAGTTTGTACTGTGGCGGGGGAGAGCTAAAACGGATTTGCGAGTCGGGGCGTATGTAGCTGGCTGATTTCTTTGTGACAGAGCAGAGTTTTCAAGGGAAAACTCAAGAATACAGAACCCAAAGCATTTTTTTTTTTCCCCCCCCCAAACAGGGTGACAGCATTAAGGTAGCTCAAACTACTTGACAGTGTCCTTTTAAGTCAATTATCCGTCTTCAAATGGACTCTTCCTTATGTTTGTATTTATAAATACCAATAAACACCATTTTCCAAGCCGTGTCTTACTGGAGGAATACCTTTGTAGAGCAAAAAAAATAAATCCTCCCGCAGGTGGCAGCGTACCGGGCGTGGGCTGCGTTTGGGAATGCCGTTTCTGCTCCGCGTACGGGGGGCCCTTGTTTCTGCTGGGCCGGTGCCCAGCTGAGCCGGAGCAGCGCTAGGCGCTGGGTCAGGCGCGGGCCCCGGGTTTGATCCGGCGGCTGCCGAGGGCATCGAGCGCCGAGATTCAGGGCCCGTCGCTTAGGGGAGCATCTTCGTACTGTCGTTTTGAGGGGTAAGCGATGCAAAACGGTGGCTCTGCTGAAAGGTTCAGCGAGGAGCAAGCCCTGACTGAAAATCCCGTCGAGTTGCAAGCTCCCTACTTGTGCCAAACGCGTCTTTTCCAGCCTCTGCACTAGATTAGCTGGACGAGGCAGGTCAGGTCCTTGCTTTGAGACCGTGAGCCGTTCTCTATGCCTTGGCCCGTTCCTTGCCCTCCCTTGAAAACCCGCGTGCGCCCCAGAACCCCGAGGTGCCTCTGCAGAAGTCGTGTCCCGCAGCCGGCAGAGCGGAGGCCGGGCTGCGCGTGCCCACCCCGAAAAGCGGTGTTCCGCCGTCACCCGGGTCCGCCCTTCGGCGCCTTGCCCCAGCCGTGGGGCACAGCCCCGTGGGGGCTGCCCTGGCCTCCATCTGCTCTTGGACATGACGAAGGGACCTCTCTAGCGAAGTAGCCTGAGGCCACCTGGGCTGGTGCTGCTGAGGTCCTCCAGGGAGGCGTTGTGAGGAGATCTAATGCAACCAAAAATGAGGCTTTCCTGGTCTTTCGAGACACGCAGCAGCACTTTTTATCCCAGTTCTGTGACCGTTCCCCATGAGGACGTGGCAAGTGTAACGTGCTGTCACAATGGTTATTTAAAACAAAAAACTTTAAAAAAAAAAAAAAATCCTATTTTCTAAACATCATTGTCATTTCCTTTTTGTTTTTGTTTTAATTTTATTTTACTCTGAATGTGTTGTTCATGGCTGGCCCATGGTGTCATGGGTTTTGGGTCGGGGTTTTTTTGGGGGGGGTGGATGGGAGATCAGTATGACAAGGTTCTTCGCTACAGTGTCCCGTGGTGGGGGTGTGCCCCGAAAACAAGGTTTAAAACATCTTGTCCTCTTCTGCTGAAGGATCGTGTGGTTGGGGGTGTCCTTTTGGGGTTGGTTTTTTGGGGTTGGTTTTTGTTTTTTTTTTTTCTATTTTGCTTTGTTTTCTGGCACCCAAGCAAGCTGGCCGAGGTTTCTGCTCGCTCTCGGTGCCGAAGCCTGGCAGAGGCACCCGGCTCCGCTCCGGTGCCGAGGTCCCTGTGCTGCAGCTTGGGGGAGTTGCAGGGGGCCAAAACAAAAAAAAGGGGGCGTGGGGGAGAAGCCACTTTCCTCTTCCATTCAAAGCTTCAGGCCGTGCTCAGCAGGCAGCCTGTGCCGCCGCCTGCCCGGCCCCTCGCCCCCCCCTTGGCTTGCACCCCCAGGGACCCTTCCCGGGGGGCTGGCCGAGTGCTCGGCAGACGTGTGTGTCTGTCCCCCCCCCCGTACAGAGGGGACATCTTGGCAGAGGATCCCATCGCTGGTGACGCCTCGTCGGGTCCCCTGGCACCGTCCTGCGGCTCTGGCTGGCGCGGTGGGCCGGGCGGCTCGGCGGAGCTGAGCTTCGCTGCAGCCGGCGGTACGTGCTCTCCGTGCCGGCTGGGCTTAACTCGCGTGGAGGTTTGGATATGAGATTTGATTTGTTTTTTTTTTTTTAAAGAGATGAGGAAATACATCCCCTGCTCTCGCCAGCCGGTGACACCGTGGGGCTGGCCAGCCCCTGCCCTGCCCCGGGAGGGCACGGGGAGGGGGGGGGCCGTGGAAATGCCACCCTCTGCCAGCCATCCCGCACCCCCCAGCACCCTGCCGTTCCCCGGGGGCTCTTCATGCCGCAGCCACAAACCTTCCTCCACCCCCCAAAGGTGCATCTGAGCTCACCGTGGCTTTTCCCCGCTGGCCACAGGCCCCAGCTGTTATCTCAGCGTCTGCTAAAACGGGATTATTCCCCCTCCTCTATGCAAACCCCGAGCGTTCGGTGTTCGCGCCCTCCAGCTCCCTTCCCATCTCTCTGCTTGGCCCCGCCGGCGCGGGGCCCGTGGGGCGGCGCCGGGCGGGACCCGTGGGTCGGCGCAGGGGCTGCTGTGCCCGCAGACCCCCGTGCCGGGGGGCAGGGCTGGCCGCCTTGGTATTTTTAACGCATTTTTAAACTCGGGTGGGCTCACGACGTCTGTTCGGTCTGATGTACTGGACACACGAGCTGGAACCTTGTCATACGCTCCCTTGATTATATATATATATTATAGAGAGATCTGTAAAATATTATTTTAATGATATTGTAATCTGTGCTTTCCCTGACACTGTGTGGATATAATAATGCCATTAACTAAAAGTAAATATATATATATATATGTAGCTGAGTTGTCCCTTGTCTGTGTGATACGCTGCACGCGGGGGCAGCGAGGGTCCGGCGGTGGAGGGGACAGTCGGGAAAGGGCTGGTGGGGCCGAGCTCTGGCTCCCCTCGGCAGTGAGCGTTTCGGGGAGGGTGGTGGGTGTTTCCCTCTCCCCACCAGCAACGGGTCCACGGGCCTGTGTCTGTCTCTGCCCCCGTGCTCGCTGCCGTCCCCCCTCTCTGTGTTTGCCGACACCCTGATCTCGGACCCGCTCTGGGGGATGTCCCAGCTGCGCCGCCCCAGCGTCCTCCCTGCTCCTCGCCCGCGTCCTCCGGCTCCCCTTGGTCTCCATCCTTCCTCTCTGGGGAAACCTGCCGCCGCCTTGTTTATGCCGAACCCGTCCTTTGCCCTGCAAGTCGTTTCCTCCCGAAGGCGTCCCCCGTCTCGCTTCACCACCCGGCTCTGCCCTCCGCGCCAGCAGCGGCCGCGCCGGACGGTGCTTGGGGGAAGGACTCGGTGTTAAAAATAACCCGTTCCCCGAGCCAAAACGCAGAAATGAGGCTTTACCGGGTTTTGCCAGCTGGGGCTGCCCTGGGCGCTGTGCCACGGCCGGCTCCGTCCCTGCGGGGTGGGACAGGACCTGCTCTGCCCGGGCTTCCTCCGTGCTGACCCAACGGCTGCCGGGGGCTCTCTGGGGAAGGGGGGTGTCCCCGGTGCCCGGCCCCGCTCCCCAGCCTGGCCCAGGGGCTGCTCCCACCCCACAGCGGGTGCAGGACCCCCGGGGACCCCTCGCCCAAACCCCAGCAGGCGCCGCAGGGCCGAGGGACACGGACGGCACTTCATAGTATACAGGCGCGCGAT